AGGAAGTGTGAGGATGGTGCAGGATAGAACAGGGTTCAGATCTTTTGTTCACAGGGTCGCTGTGAGTTGTGCTCTACTCAACAGCACCTAACAACAAAAACAGTAATTCCACTCTTAAGTTAGATGACGGTCATATATGTCATTAGTTCTGTGGCATAGTTATTCATTGATTCTTTGGTTTCCTTCATTTATTTTGTTTAAGATGCAGAGAGATCCATGGTTATATTTCGATGGCTGCTAACAAGTTTTTAAGACCCTAGATCTCACTCATCCATACTGAAGGCTGCAGTCTTTGACTTTCTGCTGCAAGAGCTTCAAGCTCTCTTCTTTACCTTCAACCAGCAAAGTTGTGTCATCAGTATAATGAAGGTTATTGATGAGTTTTCCTGCAATCCGGACACCATCTATTTCTTTATAGAGTCCAGTTTCTCATATACAGGTCAAAGGGGTATGGAAAAAGGATACAGCATTCAATGTGGATTGTATCTTACTATCAAGGAAAAAAAATTCTCACTAATGGACCGATTTAGAAGAAGCCCTGGTACTAGGGATATTATAGCTAGTGTTAGATGGATTTTGGCAGAAGGCAGAGAATACCAGAGGAATGTCTATCTGTGCTTCATTGACTATGCAAAGGCTTTTGACTGTGCATATCACAACAAACTATGGCAGACTCTGAGAAGAATGGGAATCCCACAACATTTGATTGTGATTATGCGAAACCTATACTTGGGCAGTCATCTGAACAGAGCAAGGAGACATTACATGGTTCAAAATCAAGAAGGGGGTCCAGCAGGGATGTATTTTGTCTCCATACCTTTTCAATCTTTAAGCAGAACAGATCATCCAAGACACTGGCTATATGAGGAGGAATGTGGTATCAGGATTGGAGGTAGACTCATCAACAACCTGTGTTATGCAGATGACACAACCTTGCTTGCTGAAACTGAGAGGACCTGAAGTGATTGCTGCAGAAGGTCAAGGACTGCAGCCTCCTATATGGATTGAAACTCAACATCAAGAAAACAAAGATTCTCATCACTAAGCCAATTGGCAGCATCAGTATGGATGGTGAAGATATTGAGATAGTTAACAGTTTTAGTTTGCTTGAATCCACAGTCAACACTCTTGGTAACCAGTAGCCAGGAAATCAAGAGACAAATTGCATTGAGAATGTCAGCTGTCAGGGACCTCTCAAGAGTACTGAAGACCAACAAAGTCAAGCTGGAGACTAAGGTGCGCCTGAACCGGGCTACAGCCTTTGCAGTTATGTGCTATGCATCAGAGTTGGACAGTGACTAGGGATGATAGAAAGAGAATTGATACCTTTGAGCTGTGGTGCTGGAGAAGAGTATTGAATATACCATGCGCTGCTAGGAGAACAAACAGGTTTTTCCTGGAGAATGTGAAGCCTGACTGCTCCTTGGAGTCAAGGATTCTGCAGCTTCATCTGACATACTTTGGGCATGTTGCAAGAAGAGACTGGTCCTTGGAGAGGGACATCATGTTTGGGAGAGTAGAGGGACGGCGCAGGAGAGGAAGACCCTTGATGAGATGGATCGATTCTGTGATTGGGCTGGTGGGAATGAGTGTGTCACAGACGGCGAGGTTGGCACAGCATAGAGCAGTGTTTAGGGCTTTTGTGCATAGGGTTGCTATGAGTCGCAAGTGACTCGATGGCACATAACAACAACAATGGACCTATAAGCAACATCTTGATAGATGGAGAAAAGATTGAAACTAACAATCTCTTCTTACTTGGATCTACCATCAATATACTTGGTACCAGCAGTTAAAAAATCAAGAGACGAGGCACTGGGAAAATGTGCAGTCAGGAACCTCTCCAAATTATTGAGGAGCAGTGATGTCTGTTGAGGACTAAGGTGTACCTAATTCAGGCCATTCTCTTTTAAATCACTTGGTGTTCTTCTGAAAGCTAGCAGTGTATAAGGATGACAGAAGAATTGATGCCTTTGAACTGTGGTGTTGAGGAAGAGTAGTGAATATTACATAGACTGCCAAAAAACCAAACAGTTATGTCCGGGAGGAGATGCAGCCAGAGTGCTCCTTGGAGGCAATGATGATCGAGCTTTGGCTCACATACTTTAGGCATGTTGCTAGCAGAGGGACATTATGTTTGGAAAGGTAGAGTGCAGGCCAAAGAGAGGAAGCCCCTCAACCAGGTGGACTGACATAGTGACTACTACAATGGGCTTGAATATGTCAAATTCAGAGGTGGTACAGTATAGAACAGGATTCACATGTTATTCTCAAGGTCACTGTGACTCCTAATCAATTTGATGGCACCTAACAACAATGACAGGTATTACTTACCAAACTAGAGAGTAGAACATTATCCATATGAACTATGCTATTATTACAATTGATCAAGTTGTAAACTCTCAAGCCTTCAAAGTGAGTAAGTTAATCCCATAAGGTGTTTAAATCTATGTGATATCCATAACTGTGTCTCTTTATTTTCAACAGAATCATTAAGTAAATATATGAACAAAATGAATATCAGTCTTTGTTGACTCATCCATGCACATGTGATTTATCTTAATTATCTGTAAAATAAGGCCCCAGGAGTTGTCGGCATACCAATTGACATATTTCAACAGATGCTGTCCTGTATACGCTCACCAAGTTGTGCCAAGAAATCTGGAGGACAACCACTTGGCTGACTGATTGGAAGAGATCTGTATTTGTTCCCATTCCAAAGAAAGGTGACCTGACAGAGTGCAGACAAACCAGGCTGCTCCTTGGAGGCAAGGATTCTGGGGCTTCGTCTGACATACTTTGGACATGTTTTAAGGAGAGACAGGTCTTTAGAGAGGGACATCATGCTGGGTAGAGTAGGGGGACAGCGCAGGAGGGGAAGACACTCTATGAGGTGGATTGATTCAGTGACTGGGGTACTCGGGATGGGTGTGTCGGGGGCAGTGAGATTGGCACAGGATAGAGCACGGTTTAGGGCTGTTGTACATAGGGTCACTATGAGTCGCAAATGACTCGACGGCACATTAACAACAACAACAAGAAGCAAGATTCTGCTCAAAATGATCCAAAAAGGACTAGCGCATTGCATCAACAGAGAACTGCCAGATGTGCAGGCTGGACTTAGAAGAGGTGTGTGGTACTAAGGATATTATAGCTAATGTTAGATGGATCTTGGCTGAAAGCAGGGAATGCCAGAGGAATGTCTATCTGTGCTTCATTGACTATGCAAAGGCATTTGACTGTGTGGATCACAATAAACTGTGGCTGAATCTAAGGGATGGGAAAACCAGAACACTTGATTGTGCTTATACGAAACCTATACTTGGACCAAGAGGCAGTCGTCAGAACAGAGCGAGAAAGCACTGCATGGTTTAAAACACTGCGTGGTGTATTCCAGGGATGTGTCCTATCTCTAGATCTTTACAACCTATATTTGGAACAGATCATGTGAGAGGCTGGGCTCTATGAGGAGGAACGTGGTATCAGGATTGGAGATAGACTTATCAACAACCTGTATTATGCGGATGACACAACCCTGTTTGCTGAAACTGAGGAGGACCTGAAGCACTTGCTTCAGAAAGTCAAGGATTGCAGCCTTCAATATGGGTTGAAGTGCAGTATCAAGAAAACAAAGATTCTCACCACTGGGAGAATCAGCAGATTAGCAGCACCATGATGGTGAGTGAAGAGATTGAGATTGTTAACAGTTTTAGTTTCTTGGCTCCACAATCAACACTCTTGGTACCAGCAGCCAGGAAATCAAAAGATGAATTGCATTGGGAAAGTCTGAGGTCAGGTACCTCTCCAGAGTACTAAAGAGCAACAGTATCATTTTGGAGACTAAGATGTGCCTGATCCAGGCCATGGTCTTTGCAATTATGTGCTATGCATCAGAAAGCTGGACAACGACTAGGGATGATAGGAGAATTGATGCCTTTGAGCTCTGGTGCTGGAGAAGAGCATTGAATATACTGGGACTGTTTAGAGAACAGACAGGTGCATCCTGGAGAGAGTGAGACCAGGCTGCTCCTTGGAGGCAAGGATTCTGAATCACCGACATACTTTGGGCATGTTGCAAGGAGATATCAGTCCTTGGAGAGTAACATTATGCCTAAGAGGGTGGGAGGGACAGCACAGGAAGGGAAGACCCTTGATGAGATGGATTGATTCAGTAACTCAGGTAAATGGGGGTAGGTGTCAGGGATAGTGAGATTGGCACAGGATAGAGCAGGATTCAGAGCTGCTGTATGTAGGGCCACTAGGAGTTGCAAGTGACTCAACACATAACAACAATTGTCTGTTTGAGCTAATGAAGTACATAGCATGACATATGGGTTGAAAGAAAATTCTATAGGAATCTGTAATTTGTATGCTTTTAAAAATGAGCCTGATGCACACCCATGTTTATCACAGCTTTGTTCGTAATAGGAAGGAGCTGGAAACAACCTAAGTGCCCATCAACAAACGAATGGATAGAGAAGCTGTGGTGTATTCACACAATGGAATACTACGCTGCATTGAAAAACAAGGAACTCATGCAATATTATTCAATATGGGTGACCCTGGAGAACATTATGCTGAGTGAAACATTTCAGCCACAAAAGGACAAATACTGCATGGTGCCACTGTTGTAAAACAGCACTGACCTTGGGGTTGGGGGGAAGACTGAGAAAGATGGGATAAATAATGTATACTGCATTGAAACAGATGAGGGAGAAAACTGTTTAAAAAGGATATGTGCTTAGGTATTATTGTCACGACAGGTGTCCAGAATGAAGGCTGCATAGTGGAGTGGACTTGGGGGAGAAGGGATTGTATAACAATGAAAGAATTTTTCTTTTACTTTTCAAAGAGAAGAGCAAATTTGGGGGAGGGAGGGATGGGCAGAGAGAAAAGTACAACAATGAATGAATGGAAATCCTCAGTCTCTGTAAATTTTCATTGAAATTAATAATAATAAAAAATTTTAAAAAAGTTTTAAAAAAAGAGCCTGGAAACCAACAGAAAAAAGTTTTTATTTATAACAGCATTTTGTAAACAATCACACTGTGCGTTTTTAACTTCAACAATAACAAAATTTGTTTCCTATGGATTTATAGCAAACTATATAAAGACAATGAGTTAATACAAGAGTAAAGATGAATAGAGTAAATAAAATAATTTCTAAAAATATCAAATTATAGCACTTGATACAAAGACTGGTAACTGTACCATAAAAATTTACATGCCACAAAACATTAATTTATAATTTAAAATATGCAGTAAAACATATTTATTTAAAAAAAGCTTCAATATTAACTCTATTAAAAACCAGTGAAATACTCAGGGGACTAGTTATTAAAACTTATTAAAAAAATCAGTAAATATTGCAATTGAGGTAAAATTTTTAAGTAAACAAAACTATCATTTATAAGAGCCAAAAAGTAAACAAAAGGGCAGACAACATTTTCTGATGATTAGGTCTACTCCTTGATATTTTGAAGCAGTTTCAACAAATGTGCCTCAATAACCTGTTGAACTAAAACAGACAGATAATCTTGATTAAGGCATATTGGTTACAAAAATTTTAAAAACCTACTAAGCATAACTTAACACCCCTAATTTTATCATTGAATAAATATATTTTAATCAGTGTTCATTCATAGTCTGAAGGCAATAATGAAACACAACTCTTAAACTTTGAGAATAGAAAACTTAAATTTGTTTATGATCTTGCAACTTTGTCCCATGATATTGGACTTTCTGTGGACAATTATGTAGCATTTTATAAATACACTGCCACAAAATGTTAAATACACCTTGTAAATAAACAGGCACTTATCCACAGTGACTAGTTATTTGGATAGGTAAAAAGTAATGGTAACAATCTCATGTCTAGATTTTATAGGGATTTATTCACAGATGTCTAAGTCAGGAGTTAGGTTAGCAGGCAGTGCTTTATGACTATAAGAGGTGAAAATGGCTTCAGCCAGTGCATTATTTATAATCCTTTAAATAATAAAAATCTTGTAACTCTAAGATTCTTACCACTTCTATAGCCCAGGGCTACAGCTAAATCCATAGAATTATATCCAGAGTCAGTTTCAACTGTTGGGTCAGCTCCATTTTCTATACCAAAAGAATAATAATAATAATAATAATAATAATAATAATGGCAACATAATCACAACTATATGTATGTATATGTATATATGTATATGTAGATATACATATATATGTATATATATGTAATGTGTGTGTGTGTATATGTATGTATGTATATAAAGAAGATGAAAGAAGAATCAATGCCTTTGAACTGTGGTGTTGGTAAAGAGTATTGAATATCCCATGGAGTTTCAAAAGAACAGCTCTATCTTGGAGGAAGTGTACCCAGAATGCTCCTGAGAGGCAAGGATGGTGAAACTCCATCTCACTTTGGGTATATTTTCAGGAGGAACCTGTCCTTGGAGAGACATTATACTGGGAAAGGTCAGCAAAAGAGAGGAAGACCCTCAAAAAGAAGGACAGACACAGTGACCACAAGGGGCCTGAGTGTGAAAGAGATCCCGAGTATGGAGAAGGACAGGCAAGGTGCAGACGTGTGGTCGCTAGGAGCTGAAGGTGACCTGATGGTAGCTAGCAACAAAAATATAAAGATACAAAACTTTTGGATATGCTTGTGTATTACTAGATTAGAGATACAGGGCTAGAAAGAATTTTAGCCAATTTGGTAAATTTATGGTCTACCAGCGTCCCCTGTGCTTGGAGAGTACAGAATTCATTTTGGAGGGTTGAATGAAAGACATTTCAAAGATAAATGTGTCCTCCAGGGCAGCCAGAATTAATACACAACTACACAAAATGTATGGGTAGAAAAAAGCCCCCAGTGGATTCAAACATGACTTGCTAAGTGAAAGCACAAAGGGCAAATGCAGTAATTGTGGATGTGGTGTGTGATGCAGGGGCTTCCTATGGGTGGAAGTCTCCCTGGAGTAAGTACTCATGGAGAGTGTAACAGCAGGGATTTAACTTATTTTACAATGGACCCCTGGTGACAAGCGGTTAAGGGCTTGACTGCTAATCGAAATGTCAGAGGTTTGAGTATGCCAGTTCATCTGTGCGAGAAACATGTTGCCAGTCTTTAGGAAAGAAATCTGGAGATTTCCTAATTGCCATGGAGTTGGAACTAATCAAAAGCTGACCCAGCAGGTTTTGGAGGCTGTAAGCGGCACGGGAGGATACTGTCCATCTTCCTCTGGAGGAGAATGTGGGGGATTCAAACTGCCTGAGAGGTGTGTCCTTTTGGATAGCAGTGCAGCCACCAGAGTGCCCGGTAAGGATTTAAAGCCTTGACCATCCTGTGGGGCAGTTCTGTTCTCTTAGAGCACTGCTATAAATCGGCAGCGGGTTTGGTTGGAGTTTAGAAGCCCAAGAGTTACAAGCATGGCTGCTAACTGAAGGGCTGGGATTCCTATTTACCCAGCACCTGTGTAAAAGAAACACTTGGTAATCTGATTTTCTATAGATTTTTTTAAAACACATCATACAATGCCAAGAGAACAAACGGGTCTGTCCTGGAGAGGGGAAAGCCAGGTTGCTCCTTGAAGGCAAGGATTTTGAAGCTCTGTCTCACATATATGGGCTTGTTGCCATGAGAGACTAGTCCTTGGATAAAGAAGGGTAGAGGGTGGTTGGAAGGGTGGAGGGTCAGCACAGGAGAGGAAGACCCTCCAATATAGATGGAATGACACAGTGACCGTGGCAATGGGGTCAGGTGTGTCACAGATGGTGAAGTTGGCTCAAGAGAGGGAAGGGTTCAAAGCCATTGTTGTTATTAGCTGTAGTTGATGGCACAGAACAAACAACTACATAGATTACAGTCAGAGCGGCTCAGAGTGTCATAGTCACAAGGTGATGGAATGACAGTAACAATTCTCCTGAGGATCAGAGGATGCGGTTGTTGTGGTTAAGTACTGCTATGACTCAAAGTGATTCTATGGAAAACAGAAACTCTTACCAGCTGTGCACGCACCCACTGTTGTAGCTGGAGGAAGAATGTAGCAGTTGTCCCCAGCCTGATCACTACTTGAGAAAGCTGCTAACATTTAAGGTGACTGGAGCAGATACCAAAGCAAATACCAGACCAGAAACTAGACCAAAGACCAAACCAGACAATGGATCCTGGTAAGACTCTGGGCCTGATAACAAAAAGCCTAAACCCAAGTTAATTAACATCCCCAGATTCCCAGCAAAATACCATCTTTCCTAGCACCTCCTCCAACCTCTATAAGAGGCAGCCCTAGACAATCTGCGTGACATTTTGAACTTCTCTGCTTGTGGTCACTTGGCGTCCCTCTCAGGCCATGCAATAAAAAGCCTGTTCATTTCTTGGGGCCAGTTTCTTTCTGTCTCTCTTTCATCCTCAACTCTTTTTCTATCCAATCGCAGTACTGTATCAATGCTTTTTTTTCTCTTTCTCTGACTCTTCACCTCTCCAAGAATGAAGTCTCCTTCCAAAGACTGGCCCCTCCTGAAAACATGCCCCAAGTACGTGAAATGAGTTCTTATTATCCTTGTCTCTAAGGAGCATCCTGCATTTCTTCTAAGACAGGCTGGGCTGTGGTTCCTGGTATATTCAATACTATTAGCCAAAACTGCAATTCAAAGGTCCTCATATGGCATTTCCTAAATTTATTTCACTTTCATATACTTACCTAAGAGCATTTTTACACATTTCACATGATTTCCATGTACAGCATAAAGCAAAGGCGTCCCTCCATTCTACAAAAGCAAAAGGCAATTTAGAGTTTTTCAGGGAGAGCAAGATTCAAAATATTTAATGCCACCGGGACAAGTTTTACAAAGATCTCGGACACTAAGAGCAGTTTTAGGTAATTTTAGAACTTTGTGAAGAACACTTAAGTTACAACCAAAATGGAGGTTATGACATGAAATTTTAATTTCTCTTCCAAGTATTCAATACATTTAGCGATGTTTCCTCAATGCCAAATTAATTCTAGAGCAGTTTCTTTAAAGAATTTTTAAAACAGGTATATAGACTCACCCAATCATATTCATTTACATCAACTCCACAATCAAGCAGCATTTTCACAATATCTGTGTAGCCTTTGCTACAGGCCAATGATAGTGCACTTTCTCGACCTTTTCCTAGGAGCTGGGGATCAGCACCCTGGGGTGAGAATGGAGATAAAAGATATATCACTTCGTTTAAAAGAGAGTGCTTAGATAATGCTCTGAGTTTAAAAAAAATGTAATGCAAACTTTTATCCATGGATGATCCTGTACAAAGATTGTCTGGATGCCTGCCTTCCTCCCTTCTGTCTGTCTGAAATCTAGCATCATTTAACTCTGAGGTCAAGTCACACCTCCTCCACGAAGTCGTCTTCTACACGCCTGGCAGGCTGACAGTTCCCACTACACTCAGAAGGGCTGGCATTAAATTCTCTCTCACTAATTTCACGGCTGATTAGTCTGACTTCCCCGATTAGATCCAAGTTCCATGAAAACATGAAAAACATTCTATAATTTTTTTTTAATCCTCTACTATTATATCTAACTGGATGGAGGTAGAAAAACTTTAATGAAGGTTTGAACTGAACTTAAATAACTATACATATACATTTTCTGAGGCATTTTCCTTACATTCTGAAGTAGAAACTCTACAACAGCTATCTGCCCGTGTGCCGCAGCCCACATCAGAGGAGTAAATCCTTCTTCATCCGTGTGATTGATAACATTTTCTATTTAAAAGAAAAGCAATTTTTGTGATCTAATTTAACAACCATATATGAATAGTTCTATGAAAATACTGGCATTCTAAAAAAGACTGTTATATCACTTAATGAATTGACTTTGTACTCAATTTCTTAACTGAAGTTCTACTAAAAGCTATTTCAGTTTGCAATCTGAATGTACCAAATGTGCCTTGATGTGTAGCTCAGTTAAAATAAAGAAAGGAAGGGCTCAGGGCTATATCCTTGTACTTTAGTTATTCAACCTGCATGCTGAGCTAATAATCTGAGACGTTAGACTATACAAAGAATTCACGACTGAAGGAGACTCATTAACTACTGTGATATGTAGATGGCACTACCTTGCTTACTGAAATTGAAGGGAACTTGAAGCACTAAAGATGAAGACCAAGGACTATAGAGCCTTGAATACAGATTACACTTCAACAGAGGAAAAAAAGTTTTCACAACTGAGCCCCACAAACAACATCATGATAAAAAAAAAAATTACTGGAGCTGTCCAGGGATTAATTTTACTTAGATTATCACCCATGGACATAGCAGTTAAGAAACCAAACGTAATACACTGGGCAGATCGATAGGTAAAAGCTGTTGGCAAGTGTTCCAAAACAAAGATCTCACTTTGAAAACTACAGTGTATCTGACCCAAAGCTTTGTCTTTTCAATTGTCTCATAGATATGCAAGAGCATGTACAGAAGGAAGATGGAAAAACTGATGGCACTGAATTATGCTATTAAGGAAGAATACTGACTATGCCATGGCCTGCCAGAAGGACGCACAAATCTGTCTTGGAGGAAGTACTGCCAGAATGTTCCCTGGAAGTGAGGGTGGCAAGACTTTTCTCTCATGAACTAAGAGGGACGAGGCACAGGAAAAGGACATCGTATTTGGAAAGCAGAGAATCAGTGAAAAAGAAAAGCCTTTCAAGAGATTGACACAGTGGATGCAACAGTAGGCTCAGACACAGGAACAATGAGGATGGTGCAAGGTGGGGCAGTGTTTCTTTCTGTTGTACAAGTGTGGCTAGGAGTCAGAACCAATTCACCGAATGGTATGTCACAACATACAGCACGCTATCTAGGACCACACTGCCAGACACGGTATAATGCTCAGAAGAAGGTAGTTAACAGAACACTGGGCTTTGAGGCTTTGCATCCTGACCAGCACCTTCTAGTAGTTTGACCCTGGCCAAGTCACTTATTTCCTCAATGAACAATAAATATCTTACCTATCTCAATACGTGGCTGGGAGGAGGACAATATAAATAAGATTATAGAATACATTTTAGCATTATACATGATATTATAAAAGTTCCAATATCGTGATCAATCTATTTTCTACTCAATAGTTCATTGATGCCTCTAAGGTGCTCTTATTCCTATAGCTTGCCAATAACACATTATAATATGAATAAGACTTGAATCATATTCCCTAGATTTAGTCTACTAGATACAAGTTTATAGGTTTTTCCTTCTAAATAGATGTATTAATCATCTATATGACATAGTTCACCTAAGAAGAAATTCCAATAGACTTTAACTTTAAAGATATAAGTGAAATAACTAGCAGATGTCATTATTCACTTATCAGAGTAGCAAAAATGAGAGTGTCTTAGATATCAGATATAAAGCTATTAGAATATCTTTAGATATAAGATAAAAAGAGATTATGCTTTGCCAGTAAGAGTCTGAGAAGTAGGAACTCTTATTTCGGTGGAAGAACAAATATCTGGCAATATGTAAATAAAACAAAAAATTCATAAACAATTTGACCTAGCAAATCTACTTGCAGGAATTATCCTTGGTGGGTATACTTACACAGAATGCCAATACCACTGGTTTTTTTGTAGCAACAATTAGAATCAACTACCATCAGGGGATTAATTTAAAACAACAACAACAACAACAACAACAACGTAAGTATATGCAATACAATGCAATATCGTGGAACTGTTAAAAAAGAATGAAGTAGTTGAATGTTGCATGGACACATATCCAAAATATTAAGTGAACAAAGCAAGGTGCTATACTTGTGTAAGTAACAAAAAGCACATGCCCACTATTAACAATAACTCACAATAGATATAGGAATCTTTTCTAGAAAAATGTTCTAAAAAACCATGACACTTAAAAAAGTGTTTGCTTTGGGAAAGATAGAGTTTCTTTGGGAGAAAAATTTATAACTCTTATACTTTATATTACTTCTTAAAAAAATCCAATTACCTGTCTGGCGGGATTGTGCAAATATTTGCTCCTGTGTTCCTATTTCCCTCTATTAAAATAAAACAATATATATCTATCTAGTAATTGCTGTGGAAGCTGTTTTACATAATATTTAAACCGACCATTACCTTGTTCAATACGGGTAGCGAGATAGAGCATCTCCCCCTGAGCAGCCAATTGGTGAACAGACAAGGCTGAAACGACACCAGGAAATGCTTCATATTTGGAAGCTGTACTTTCATCATTAGTATTGTTGAAGAATTTTCATTTTCAAAATGAAACCATCATTTTACTACTTTAAAATACAACTTAATGGGCATCCTGACCCTCTGTCTCTGGAAACTGGCTCTTTTACATTCACATAAGATAACTCTGGCATCTGCAAATTGATATTTTCAATCTATTCCAAAGATATGATACTGACAACTAATTTTTAAAATGCTATCACTGGATGCAAACACATAACACAACTCGAAAAGCTACAATTTTATTGTCTTTTTAATGATTGAATAGACTAAAGCCTGAAATATTATTTCAAGATAGCATGGTTTTTCTTAACATTAGGAATAAAGGTGTAGGTAGAAAATTGTCCTCGAGGGTAAATTGTGGAGTAGTTAGGCTATGTGACCTCGGGCACTGGTAGATTAAATATATCTATAACAGAAAAGATCTAGCTCAAAAATTCTATGGTCAAAATATTTTAAAATCATCTCTTTACCTTAAAATATTACCAAATTGGTATTACTTGTATGAATCCTCCTTGATCACTGACTTCAGATTTGTTGTGGTTTAGTGCCATCAATTAAACACTGACATACTGTGTGACCTTAATACATTAGAGTCTCCATTCAGTTGTTATGTGCCATCGAGTTGCCTACGACTCAACAGCAACCCTCTGTACATTAACTCTGAAAGCTACCCTACCCTGTGCCAATCTGATTGTCTCCAAAAGACCTAATCCCATTGCTCCAGTCAGAGTCAATCCATCTCAGCCTGGGTCTTCCTCTCTTGCACTCTCCCTCCAACCTTCCAGGCATGATTTCCTTCTCCAAGGACTGGTCCCTCCTGGCCACGTGCCCAAAGTATGAGACAGAGCCTCAAAATCCTTGCCTCTAGGTACATTCAACACTCTTCTCTAGCACCACAACTCAAAGGTATCAATTCTTCTTCTGTCATCATTACTCATTATTTAACTCTCTGATGCATAGTAAGTAATTGTGAAGATCAGGTGCACCTTAGTCTCCAGAATGACACTCTTCAGTACTCTAGAGAGGTCCCTGACAGCAGACTTTTCCAGTTGCAGTTTGCCTTTTGAACTCTTGCTTGCTGATGCCAAGAGTGCTGATTGTGGAACCAAACAAGCTGACGTTATCAACAATCTCAATCTCCTCTCCATCCATCATGAAGGTGCCAATTGGCCTGGTGTTGAGAATCTTTGTTTTCTTTTTTTTTTTTCAATTTTATTTTTATTATTTTTGGGTGTGTACCATCAAATCGGATCTGACTGGTACAGGAGGAGATTGTCCCTCCTTTTCTAGCAGAGAATCTGGTGGGTTCAAACTGCTAACCTCAGGGATTGCTGTGCAGCTTCTTGCCACTAGGCCACCAATACTCCCCTTTGTCTCGTTGTTGTATACGAGTCGAACCGACGCACAGCTGACCCTCCAATGGGTTTTCTGAGACATTTAACTGCACAGGAGGAGAATGCCCATCTGTCTCCCATGGAGCAGCTGGTGGATTTGAACCACGTGCCTTTGAGGTTGCAGCTTCTTGCCACTAGGCCAACAGAGCTCCCTTAGTATATTAATAATAGAATATTTTCTAGTTTATATTTTTTTAAAATTTATTTTTCTAGAATGAGTCTACTTTTAATGTAGATTCAAAGTTTTAAAGCGATTATACATTCATATTGTGTAACAATGAATTATAGCAGAAACCACTCATCCTTCCTTATAAAATCATTTGTTGCTTAATCATCTAGTTCATTAAGTAAAAAGTGACACGAGGTACTCCAACATAAAATCACTGATAATGTCTTAATTTCCACAAATTTCAGAATTACACATTATTTTGACAGAAAACTCACAAATACTTTAAAAAATATTATTTTAATTTAGATTTGCTATGAATAAAGAAACATTAAGTAAAAAAATTGCAATTATATAACAGTATATAGGAAGTTTTAAATTACTGTAACTACTAATACGTCACTTGAATTTTCAGAAGGAAAATATGCATTTAATAAAAATGCCTCAATAAATTCTTGGAATAACTACATTAAACTCACTGTTGCTGAGTCAGACCCATTCATCAGGTAATATTTATTTTAGCACATCAGTGGCAAATACTCACAATTTGCTAACAGAGGTGTGGTTGAGATCTCATTTCCTCTATGTTTGTTGGTTAAAGTAGTTGACTGTTTTATAGGTGAGAAGTGCTTCGTTGTAGATGGAGTGTAGACATGCCTTACTTGAATTCCCGGAGAAGGAGATGTATGGATGTTGCATTCAGCTAAGTAAAGTAAATTTAAACCATATTTTAATGACAAAGCATGTAAAAAAAGTTCCATTTCAATATCTACATTAGAAAGCAATTATTTTTGCCGTTAAGTCTATGCCACCATATATCTACAGGGAGAAAAAAAAAATTCCATAGAACAAAATCGACCCTGAATAATTTTATTCAGAGATAAGGTTTACTATTATATTTTATATTAGATCATTATATAAGCAAACATGTATTGAGATTATGCTATAGCATAAATGTAAATATTTATTTGTATGAATTTATTAATTTATATGAATTTAAATTATTACTTTATAAGCTGGTTCATTTCTAAAGGCACAAAGAACTTTTTTTTTCTCCTGTGATTTTAAAAGGAACTAAACTGGAGAGTTGGTAAACCAATAAAATTTAGTCAAGAAATTAAAAAAAAATAAAAAATAAAAACCAAAACCATGCATTCCCTTTAAAATACAAACAACATTGCTGTTGAGTCAATTCTGACAGCAATCCTGTAGGACAGAGCAGAACTGCCCCAAAGGCTTTCAAAAGTTGTACAATAGTGGAAGCAGGCTGCCCCACCGTTCTCCTGTGGAGTGGGCAGTCTTTCAGTTAGCAGCCAAATGCTCTAACCATGGTGTTATCAGGGATATTTTTTTAAATTTTTATTATTTTCTTTGTGTGTGTACCGTCAAATCAGATCTGACTGGTACAGGAGGAGATTGTCCCGCCTTCCCTGGCAGAGCAACTGATGGATTCGAACCGTGAGCCTCAGGGATTGCAGTACAGCTTCTTGCCACTAGGCCATCAGAGCTTCCAGGGATATTCTTTTCTAAAAGTGCCATTTACTTATAACCTGACACTTAATTTTCATTTCTGTAAGATTCTAGAAAATGGTTAACCAAAAAAACCCAAACCCAAACCCAAATCATGACTTTCAACATGGCTTCCTAAATTGAAAATCTAATAACTGGAAGAGAGACCACCCCCCCAAAAAAACAAACAAAGAAACAAACAAAAAACAAACCAACCAAAAGAACCAACAACCAAGAATAACCAAAAGCATATGCGGATATTTATACCGTAACTTTCAACCTTTAAATAAGACAGATGCCACCTCCAGGTCAGAGTTAACTTGATCTTGGATATTTTTACTATCCTCTTCATTCAAGGACTTCACAAATCGAGAACACACATTCATATCAAATCGGTTAGGCAATATGAACTTCATGCCCATGGCGACCCCCTGAGCTGACCCTTCTTCAGAGGCTGCATCCAGGGGATGTTCTATTTTAATGTCGGGCATGCCAGGTAGACTGTAACCGCTGGGACGTTCTTCAACGATCAGCTGGGCACCAAGATCCAGATTTGTTGATGTAGCCATGATTTCAACTGCAGTTTCAATAATTAAAATGTTACTTCATGATTTCCTCTTGGTTTTATATCCAGTGTATTCTTGAAATTAGGGTATTTTTAAAAAAAATCTGAAACATAATTGAAAAGAACTTTAAGTACTGTATAGACTTAGGTAAAAGTACCAAATAAGATCATTTTCAGTCAAGTACCTAGTAGATCTCTTATATGCATTTCTACATTATAGAAAGCACACAAAATTAAGAGATAAGAAACCTTATCTGGATGCGGTTCAAGCACCATCATTTATTCGGTGTGTGACCCTGTGAACAATGAATTTTAACCCCACTCTAAAGCCATCTTCATCATCTGTGACACACTCAAGCTCACTATTAGCGACACTATGTCATCAGTCTTGTTGAAAGTCTTCCCCTCCTTTGTTGACCCTCAACCTTTCCAAGCATGATGTCCTTCCTTTCCCATCATGGACATCCAGTCACTGCGTTTCTCTACACCTGATAAGTGACACTGAACAGGGATACCACCGTTAACCTAACAGGAGCCTGCAGAGTAGTATAGTAACATTTTCACTATCATCACCAGGTTTCAGCAAACTTGAATCATCTTTCCTCTTCTTTAACGTACTTGAGTATTACCAGTAAACAAATAATCAGGCTAGTCATTAAAATAAAATTTTCATGTCACAATTTCAAAGTCTTACCTAGAGTTCATTTTTTCATATACCATGTTACTCTCAGTGTGAATTAAGATGCCCGTATTTATTAATATTGTTATCTATGATTCCTTGACAGTGAAGGGTTTTACAAAGCTTTGATTTTGGTAAACTGAAAATTATTGGTTTTTATTTAAATTTTATTTTATTTATTAGTGACATAATAAAGTAAGTAGATTACGGATTGCCTTTAGCACTCCAGAACATTATAGCCTGAGTATAATTTTTTTATTCAATCCGTATGGTACTATAAATAGAAATACTCAAAACTCAAACTCACGCTCTCCAGCGGGAAGAGAGCCACAGCTGACCTTCCGGTGAGTTTTCAGAGGCTGTAAATTGCGTGGGGGATTGCTCATCTTTCTTCCTAAGCGCGCCTGTGGATTCCTGCCTGCCTTTGGGTTGGTAGAGAAACTCCTTACCCACTAAGCCACCAGAGCGCCCTAAAATTTACCAGTTCCCCCCCATGCAATATTGTCAAGACATGAACTAAAAAAAAAAAAAAAAAAAAAGGCGTTTGATTAGTTTATTCCCAATGCTATTAACCAGCTGAGCAAATCGCAAGTTTCCTGTAACAAATCTCAAATTTCACCTATAAAATAATGCTGAAATATGCTTTTCTAATATTTTTGGGCGCTCTGGTGGCTTAGGGGCCAGCAGCTGCACTGCTAACCTGAAGGCACAGGGTTGGAACCTACCAGCTGCTCTGCGGGAGGAAGGGCACTCTCTTTTTTAGTGATTTACCAGAAGGTTGTCGGAGGGTCAGCTTCGACTCTAATGTACACACCAATAATCCTTTTCAGCATTAAATATATGCTCTAAATCAAGGCGTTACTGGCCCAAAAAACAGTCGTTGAGGGGAAAAGGGTAAATATGCTTATGGGAAATGGAGAGGCATTACTTTAAGGACAAGAAACAAATAGGTTCAAATTTTGAAGATGAGATGGGGAAAAGTGAGTCACAAGAGCAAGGATAAGGAGGATCACTTTGATATGTAAGAGAGCAGAGATGAAGGGAAGGAAAACCCAATGAAATAAAGAGGCTAACTGTGCTCATCTCCTCCCCAGTGGCTGCTATTAACAGGATCTCTCTCCCCTGACACATGCTCCCCATTTCTTCCTAATCCTGAAATTGTCCTACAAGAAAAGCAAGGTGCTATGAAAACAAATGGTGCCTCACAGGCGACAGGTGTCTTGGCGCCCAGATGGAGGACTGTCGCGGGGCAAGTCCACGCCGTCGCCGGCGGCCAGTCCTGCCGAGAAGTCCCAGTGTGGCTCAGGTTCCGGGCTGCGGCCACGCTTGCTCATCCGCGATGGGCAGATCCTGAGGACAGCGGTGGGCAGCTGTCTAAGTGGGAGCGCAGGGCCTCGAGACCACCTCCAACAGAAAAGAGCGAGTCGGGCCTTTCCATCTGCGGCCACAGGTTTCAACCCAGGCCTCCAAGCTAGGGCTTGTTTTGGCCGCGACGTCACTTCCGAGTTCTTTTTCCTTCTGGCAAAAAGTCCTTCTGCATCTTTGCAGCTGGACGGACTTCCCCTTTATTCGGCTATGCCGTCCATACCGAGGATCGCTACAGAGACAAAGTCATCTCAGTTGACTGCTGCTCTGTGTCACTAATAGGAAATATTAAAATCCTGCCCGCCGGCCACGCCCACCGCCCACTTTCTATGGCGCCGACCGCGCCCACTTCCTATGGCCCCACCCACCAGCTAGTACGTCATCTGCGCTGCGCGGCTGGGTAGTAAGGGCTTTGACGTCACCACAGCGCGACGAATCTTCCTTTTCCGTACGCAGAGTGTCATGGCGGCTCCTTAGGGGATCCTCGTGAGTGAGGCAGAGCGGTCCAGAGGACAGTCCAGCGGAGGTAGGTAAAGGAAGCATCCATCACTCCTTACGATAGTAGCTAGCATGCTCCCATGGATTTTTTCAGTCTCCTCAAGATAATGACTACACTGCTTAAATAACCTTTTGAAATTATCGACATTTTGCTTAACTTTGATTTTCCTTCTTAGTGATCACATCTCTCCAACTGTCTGCTGTAATTTTTTTTCAGCCTTCTAATACAAGTGGCGAATTTGTACTTCAGTCTTGGCTCAGGGGACCCCCTCATTCAAATGGCTGCCCCCTTGTAGCCCCACTTCCCAGACCTCCCCTTCCGGTTTTGCGCCCATTTTAATGGGAAACCTGTTCTCGCGTGCTTCAAGACCCCTCTTGAGATGAAATGGTACGGGTCTTAGCTCCTTCCTGGGAGTCTCCCGGAGAGAATGAAAACTCTGACCCTGAGCTCTCTGCTGTCTCTCTGCATTATTCAGAATAATTATATATGAGATGCTCTGCTTTGTATTGTGGTAGCATGGTACTCGGTTATTTTCAGTTTTTTAGACCCTTTCCCTTCTCTATCATTTTTCTCATTCATTCGCATTTGATTTCGTGTATCCGAGCCTTTGCAGTGTCGGCGCCCGCCCCGCCCTCCCATCTGCTCGCCCGCCGGTGCGGTTCGCCTAATCCGTTAACCGCGTCTCTCTGTTTGACTCTATAGCATGACATCTGTAAGGCAGAGATGTTACTTGGAGTACTCTCCCAGTCAGTTAAAACTTCTGAAGGTGTCTCTTGGTCTGTAAAGTATAAGTATTTGTTATCTGGCCATACTACAGGAAAAAAAAAAAATTGACTCCTGCTCTGTACCATTCTTCACAAGATAGATACCACTTGGCTTTTAATTTGGTGGTATTTTTCTATAGAATCCAGCACAGTACTTCCCTTCTTTCTACGTTCTTTCAGCCCCTTTTGTTGTACTAATTAGAAGTAATTAAGTTCTCTGGGGTGGAGGTGAGAGGAGATTTAGAGAGATCATTAAAATAAACAGTGATTATTTGTTTGACTAAATTATGCAAAGTCAAACAGGACCACCAAATGCTGGCCCCTAGGATTCGGGTCAGTGATGGTTTTCTGGAGGAGGAGATCCTGAATGGAGCCTTTAATAAGTAGGAAGTAAGTAGAGAAATGATACCTGTCAGAGGGGACAGTGTACTGAAGAGCTGCAATGTCAGTCTGGAGACCAAGGTGCACCTGATCCAGGCCATAGTCTTCACAGTTGCTTGCTATGCCACAGAAAGCTGGACAGGGATGATAGAAGAGTTGATGCCTTTGAGCTGTGGTGCTGGAGAAGAGTATTAAATATACCATGGACTGTGAGGAAAACAAACAAGTTCATCTTGGAGAGGGTGAGACCAGGCTTCTCTTTGGAGGCAAGGATTCTGAAGCTTCATCTGACATACTTTACACATGTTGCAAGGAGGGACCAGTCCTTGAAGAGGGCCCTCATGTTTGGAAGGGTAGAGGGATGACACAGGAGGGGAAGATCCTTGATGAGGTGGATTGACTCTGACTGTACATGTGTCAGAGATGATAGGTCAGAGACTGGCTTAGGATAGAGCAGGGTTCAGAGCTGTTTTACACAGGGTCGCTATGAGTCACAGGCGACTCATGGCACTGGACAACAACAAAGGGGATAAGTGAGCAAAGAACTGGATACATTAAAAACAAACAATGCTCTGCGCACTATGCTACCGGAGCTCCCTTGGTAAAGGAACAGTAAATGGTTGGAAATGACTAGTAATGAGGTTGGAAAGGTAGGCAAGGTGGAGAACTGAGGATTAGACCTTATTTTCTAGATCATGTTATGTTTTATATCAAAGGCAGATTTGCACTATCTTTGGCTAACTCTGATAACTGTTGAGAAGAAAGGTAGAGGAGTTAGATCTTGGAGTGATGTTGCACTAATTCAGTAGATGAATGCTCATTAATTAAAGCAGTGCAAATAGGGTAGATGTTTAGGAAGATTTGGGAAGTAAAATCACATCTTGTTAACTGGGTATTAGGAGGGCCAAGCTGAAATTAATTCTAGATTCCTTGCTGTTGGTGTCAGGCACCAGCTGAAATGATACTGGAGTATGCATCCCAGAAATGTTAAAATTGTATTTATAATGTCCTTGCTTGACCAGTGCATGGTTTTTTGTGGGAGTAACTTTAGTTTTTCTGGCTTCTTTGTGTAATCTTGTTAGAAGGATGAGATCCTAGGAGTGGAGTTAGAAGCCTGTGTTTGTGGTAAAGCCCTGGAATTGTCCCGGTTTTCTTGGGCCCTTGCACTTACTTACTGTCTTTTCTTTCTAGACTGCTTTTCTCCCAGTTAAGTGTTAACTCAAATGTTACTTCGAGAGTGAGAATGTCATGACCAGGCTCTATAAGGCATGTTATCTGTCATTTTCCGCTCTCATTTTCCACTTTCTTTTTGTTCCAAGCCTTCTAATTACTACATGAAGTAGAGTTATCTTCTTTCCCCATGGATAGACAAAACCTATGATTTAGTGTGTTTGATTTCCTGCAATGTTGTTGTTT